AAGTTAACAACCGTGCATAAGCTGCACAAACAGTCCTCCTCCCCAAACTCAGCTCCCAGAAGAGGAAGAGATTGGATTTATACCCTGCCCTTCACTCGGAGTCTTAGAGCAGCCTACAAACTCCTTTCCCTTCCCCTCCCCACAACAGACACCCTGTGAGGTGGGAGGGGCTGAGAGAGCTCTTTCCAGAGCTGCCCTTGAGAGAACAGCTCTGAGAGAACTACGGCTTGCCCAAGGTCATCCAGCCAGGTGTGAGTGGAGGAGTGGGGAATCAAACCCGGTTCTCCCAGATTAGAGTTCACAGACTTAACCACTACACGAAACTGGCTGCTTTGCTTTCTCCGCAGGCTGTTTTGAGACCCATTTAGGTGAACAGGAGTGTAGGTGGGGAGGGCGGGGGCTTTACCTGCAGCGGGAGCTGGTCGGCCAAGACCGAGCCAATGAAATTCAACAGATCTCCTCCCAGCCATCCCAAGAGGAAATAGATGGACAGGGCCTGATCCATGATGCCAGTTTTGCAGGCCTGGTAGTATTGGCTGAAGGACACGAGTGGAGAGAGAAGCAGTTAGAGAAAAAAGAAGAGAAGATCGGATTTCTACCCCGCCCTTCACTACCCCGCCCTTCACTACCCAAAGGAGTCTCAGAGCGGCTTACCATCCCCTTTCCCTCCCCCTCCCCACAACAGACACCCTGCGAGGCAGGTGGGGCTGAGAGCGCTCTCTCGAGGACTGCCCTTGAGAGAACAGCTCCGAGAAAACTTATGCCTGACCCAAGGTCACACCAGCTGCTGCATGTGGAGGAGGAGTGGGGAATCAAACCCCATTCTCCCAGATTAGAGTCCGTGCACCTCACCACTACACCAAACTGGCTCTCACTGGATTGGAAAGAGCCACTTGCCAGCGGCGGGAGGGGAGGGAGTCGATCGCCTCCACCCTCCAGGCGATCTGGCCGGGAACAGCCGAGTTCAGTTTGTTCCTTTTACGGCCCCAAGGCATCATTCAGCTATTATTCTGTTGTACTCCTGTGTCAATTTCATTTTTTTAAAAACTGAAGGCTAATCCTGTTCCAGGATAAACACCAGAGACCAGAACTGCGCATCATATCACATACTCTGATTTTAAAGAGAAGAAAAGCCTCACTAATGTTGCAAAGATAGGGTGGTTGTGTTGGTGTGTAGAAGAATAGCTAGATTTGATTCCAGTATACCCCAAAGATCTTGCCCCTAAGGTGCTGCTAACGGACTCCACGGTCCTGCACGGAGCACAGGGTTGGACTAGATGGCCTGTGGGGACACTTCCAATGCTACAATTCCAGGAGGCATAAATACAATTTTTAACATCTCGTCGTTTCACAATGACCATTAAATGGCTTTTGCGATTAGCACAGATGACAAACTGACTAGCAATTGACATAAAAACGAATGCTTAAAAAGAAAATACCCAGCTAGTCAACTGATCATCTCTTTCATCGGTCAAACGGATGCAATTTTTAGGCAGATTTTGGGGAGTCAGGATGGGGTTATGAACATTACTCCCTCTAAACTGTGGAGTCTTGACAGCAAAAATTCTACTTTGTGAGCTCCTGGCATTAAAGTTGTGAGCGAGCGATTTGGCTATTGCGTAAATCAGTTTGGTCCGCAGCCCTCTTTCCTGAGCCAAGACAAAAATGTGTGTGAGCCGGAGGCTAAAAAATGGCGAGCTAGCTCACACTAGTGGCGCTGCGGTGGCTCAAGTGATTAAGACGCTGAACTGCAGGCTGTGGAAGGTCGGTAGTTCAGCAGTTCGAGACCGGGGTGCCGCAAGACGGAGTGAGCTCCCGTCTCTAGTTCCCGCTCCTGCCAACCTAGCAGTTCGAAAGCAAGAAATGGCAAGTAGATAAATAGGGACCACTTCGGTGGGAAGGTAACAGCGTTCCGTGCGCCTTGGTGTTTAGTCATGCCGGCCACATGACCACGGAAACGTCTTCGGACAGCGCTGGCTCTTCGGCTTGGAAACGGAGATGAGCACCGCAACCCTAGAGTCGGATTCAACTGGCTTTCGAGCAAGGGAACCTTTACCTTTACCTAGCTTACACTAACTCAGCTTAGTGGGAAGACTGGTTATGAACACTCGAGGGGTTCACGTGGAGTGGGGTGGGGTGGGTGGTGGGGTACTGCCAGCAAGTTTGATGGGTGGAGTTTGCAGCTGTTTGTGGTGGCACTTCTGCTGGAAGGGGGTCAAGCCGTTTCAGGATGTCCCCAGGCGCTCTGGGAACAGGAACTGGAGCTGTGGCCAACCACGTGCAGAGAAGGATCGTGTGCCGGGCCAGGAAGTGAGTCACTCCTCCAGCACTGCTTAGACTCACAGCCACAGACCCGCCCGGGTCAGTCTGGTGCAGGAGACACGGCACGTGAGTCCCCCACCCCCACCCAAGTTCTCCCACCCGAAGGTCTCTTCAGCTCTCAAGAGGAACCGGCCCTCGACTTACGGGAAGGAAGCCGCAGCAAAGCAGAGGATGGAAACCAGGCCCAGCACCACGCTGGCGATGTCCCTGCCGTCCCGGGCACACTCGGAGAAGATCTCCCACACCCACCGGGTGCCGTTGGGGCAGTCGGAGAAATTCCCCTGGAGGGAATCCCAAAACTGAGCGGCCATTGAGCGTGCGAGGGGTGGGGGGCCCAATTGACTCCCCTCACACAAAACACAGGAGGGAGGATCTGTCCATGGCTGAACTGCAGACCTGCCAGGGAGGACAAAAAGCAGGAAACCATTTTAACAGCAATCCCCTGCAGAGAGTGTTGAGTTCTAATCCAGCCTTGGCTTTGGATCCCACACACGGCCTCAGGTCGGTCGGTCTCACGGCAACACCAAAACTGGATTGATCTCAAACTGGTGTAACCACAACTACTTCCTTCACAAACAGCTGGGACTTATAATTATAAAAAGCTCCCTTCCTCAGACAGGAGAAATGGCGGTCTGAGGGATATTGTAAAGAATGCTTGAAAAGGATGCAAAGGTCACAATCGGCTTGAGGGGAAATGCCCGGGGGGCAGCAAATTAGCATCTGTAGCGAGATAAGAAGAGATTGGGTTTATACCCCACCCTTCACTACCTGAAGGAGTCTCAGAGCAGCTTACAATCCCTTTCTCTTCCCCTCCCCACAACAGATGCCCGGTGAGAGAACAACTCTGAGAGAACTTGTGACTGACCCAAGGTCACACCAGCAGCTGCATGTAGAGGAGGAGCGGGGTATCAAACCCGTTTCTCCCAGATTAGAGTCCGTGCTCTTAACCACTACACCAAACTGGCTCTCTCCTATGTCTCAAGTCCATTGTTCTGAATTTGTGAATTCACTCAAATTCAGTAATATCACATTGTAATCTCCCCTTGAAGCCTCCCTGTTTGAGGACTAAATTCTCAGGTCAGCATTTTCTCTCTGAACACCGTAAACTGGGGGGCGGGGGGGAAGAAGAGGATGGCGATTACAACATGCCTGTCATCTGGCTAGCTTGTACGGGAAACAGGACAACAGAGTAAGGCCAGCATTTTTGTGTTCTTAGTAATGCATGTGTATTATTTTAAAATAGCCTCTTTGGAAGAAGGCACGACACACGATAAACACGTTTTAAGAAGAACTAATGGAGGCTGCATGCAAGAACACGGCAAGGCCATTTTGCTGCATGGATGACCGTCTGGCCGTTTGTCTGCGTCCTTGCTTTGTCAGCTGCGCTTTGCAAAAGGGCTGCCTGCAAACAAGAAAGGGCTCAATTAAGCAAAGGGCCTCTTGCAACCCTGCCTGCCAAGAACTGCCCACCCAGCACTAAAAGGCCTGCAAAACAGGACTGTCCTGTGAAGACCTGTCATTTCAGCAGAACACAGCGTGGCTTCAGTCCACCTGATCAGGTTTCCGAGCCTGGCCTCTTTCAGCAAGGGGAAGAACCAGGAACCTTTGGGTTCCCGGTAAAGAGGAGAACCGGCAGTCCCGTTTAGGACCGGCTTTTGGAGAAAAGCAGGGGGGAGAAAAGTCACTGCAAAGAACGGAGCGTGTTCAGTTCCGATCCCTGCCCTGTTTCTCTGACCCCATCACCACTTTTGAGTCACATAGAAGCCAGGGGAATGAAGAAACACGAACTTTCCCCATTGATCATCAAGTAGGAAACAGATGGATGGACCCAAGTGCTGAGGTCAGGCGAAATATCTTCAGGGCAAGGGTGGCTGTGAAGGCAGGTCCCAACCCAACCCTCCTCTTTCTTGGCCTTAAGTAACGGGGTGCGTGAAGACATTTAGAGACACCCCCTCTGGCCACATATAGTACTGCGAAAGACGGGGTGCAGCTGGGATTTTGGGATTGTAGGGCTGGGGTGAGAGAGGTCCCCCAAACTCCCAGCCAGGCCCGTAGCTAATGTGGGGCATGTGGGGCCTGGCCCCCTAGTATTTCTTCTTGGCCCCCTCTCTCCCGGGCCAGTCCCGTCCCAAATTGAATTAATGTGATTAACTTTTATTTAATTAGCGGAGAACCCCCCCCCCAGGCCCCCTCCCCCAGTAATCTCTAGCTAAGGGGCTGCTCCCAGCCCTAACTAAGGGCTGGTGATGAAGGGGAGCGGGGAGGGTTGGACATGACCTACTGCACCATAGGGGTGCCGGTAGGCTGTCCCACCCCGTATATACCTTGTGGCCCTAGTTAGGGAAAAATGGTGACTAGCACCAACTTGTAAGCCGCTCAGAGACCCCTAGACAAGGGGTTCGAGCGGGATATAAAGTCAAATGATAAATAAATAAATGACCAGAGAGATTCTCCGGCTTCCACGGAGGACTGGGAAATGAAACTAAGCGCTGCTGCAACTAAGCCCTCCTCGGAGAAGTGGCCCTGGACCGGGCTCCCCTCGTCTGTCTTGACAACATCCTTGTGAGGCAGGCCAGGGGACCACCCCTCGATGCCGGCAACGCCTTCTGAGACTCGATTCTCTCTGCTGCGAAGAAGGCTGAAGGGAGGCCCCCACTTAAAGGCCCCGGGACTCGTTGCTCCTCCCAAGACGGAGGGCCGAGCTGAGCAGCCGCCCCGCTCCCGAGCCCGGAGTTCAGATCTTCCCCTTGCGCGGGGGG